TGTGAGTGTGTGTGTGTGTGTGTGAGAGTGTGCGTGTGTGTGTGTCACTTTGTTTTGTTTCAGGTTACAAAAAAACTCTCAAATCTAAACAAGGAAAAATAATCAATATGCTTTGTTTGTCCTTTTCCCCTCTTTGAAAAGTTCCAGATATTTTCCGTCGTGCAGCATCTGGCAGCTGAAGGCTTGCACATAAATCAGCACAAACCGTTTGCAGTGTTACTGAACACACACGATAAGAGCGAACGATAACAGAGAGTCTGCAGACGGAAGAGCATCACAGACACCTGCTCCTCACACAGAAAAAAAAACATCCCAGATGTCATTAATAAAGAGTTTGAGGTCAGTACAATTAATACACACTAAATCGATCAAAAGTGACATTTATAATGTTAAATTATAAATCAATGCTGTTGTTTTGAACTTTCTGTTCATCTGTGAATCCTGAAAAATAAAATGCATCATGGTTTCCACAGAAATGTTGTGCAGCACAACTGTTTTCAACATTGATAATAATCAGAAATGTTTCTTGAGCAGCAAATCAGCATATTAGAATGATTTCTGAAGATCATGTGACACTGAAGACTGGAGTAATGATGCTGAAAATACAGCTGCGCATCACAGAAATACATTACAGTTTAACAGATATTCACATAGAAAACAGCTGCTTTAAATTGTAATAATATTGCACTGTTTTAACTCTACTTTTGATCAAATAAATGCAGCCTCGGTGAGCAGAAGAGACTTGTTTCAGAAACATTAAACAATCTTACTAACCTACACTTTTGAATAGTATTCCATTCAATAATAAAAATGGCAAAATAAATAATTCAGTCTTATTAAATCTGTTTTTATCTCTCAATCGCTCTCTGATGAGGTCGCATTAGTCATGATGCTGTCTATGTAGGCTTCTTATCAGGTGACTCTAACGGCTGCAGTGTGAGTTATTATCACCTCCGTCTCTGTAGAGATTGACGTGGTGTTTCTTACCTCTTCTGTGCCTCCTGCAGCTGCTCGTCTTCAGTCTCGTACTCTGATTGTGCTGCGAATGAAAACACGACAGAGAGAACATCAGATCATCACAACTCCTCAATGATTTCTTTAACTTTTGCTCCTGCTTCTCACCAGAAAAAGACCTAGTAAGCTAAAGTTAACCATTAAAAAAAACACATTTTTGTTACTTGAAATACATAAATGATAACTGAAATAAAATATATTTTACATCACATATTATATTAAAAAACGTAACCTTATTTTATTTCATGTAGTTGCCATTGCAATATTTCTCATTTTCATTTATTTTAAGTTAAAGTACTAAAATAATTACAACTAAAACAAATAAATAAATAATACAAAAAATTTGACTCATGATACATAAAGTCTGAAATTAAAAATCAAATAACTTAATATGAACTCAAACATATATCAACTGTATCTCAGATGTTTCTCTATCTCTTAGAAGTTTATTTATTTATTTGAATAATAATATTTATTTGTTTATTTAGATTTACTTATTATAAAATAATTAACAATTTATCTTGATGTTATTTTTGTATTAATTTCTATATTTTTTTTACACCATTTTCCCCAAACTTTTCCATGGACCCCCTAAAACAGCCCTTAAATAATATATCATAATTGACTTCACACTACTGAAGACTGGAGTAATGATGCTGAAAATACAGCTGCGCATCACAGAAATACATTACAGTTTAACAGATATTCACATAGAAAACAGCTGCTTTAAATTGTAATAATATTGCACTGTTTTAACTCTACTTTTGATCAAATAAATGCAGCCTCGGTGAGCAGAAGAGACTTGTTTCAGAAACATTAAACAATCTTACTAACCTACACTTTTGAATAGTATTCCATTCAATAATAAAAATGGCAAAATAAATAATTCAGTCTTATTAAATCTGTTTTTATCTCTCAATCGCTCTCTGATGAGGTCGCATTAGTCATGATGCTGTCTATGTAGGCTTCTTATCAGGTGACTCTAACGGCTGCAGTGTGAGTTATTATCACCTCCGTCTCTGTAGAGATTGACGTGGTGTTTCTTACCTCTTCTGTGCCTCCTGCAGCTGCTCGTCTTCAGTCTCGTACTCTGATTGTGCTGCGAATGAAAACACGACAGAGAGAACATCAGATCATCACAACTCCTCAATGATTTCTTTAACTTTTGCTCCTGCTTCTCACCAGAAAAAGACCTAGTAAGCTAAAGTTAACCATTAAAAAAAACACATTTTTGTTACTTGAAATACATAAATGATAACTGAAATAAAATATATTTTACATCACATATTATATTAAAAAACGTAACCTTATTTTATTTCATGTAGTTGCCATTGCAATATTTCTCATTTTCATTTATTTTAAGTTAAAGTACTAAAATAATTACAACTAAAACAAATAAATAAATAATACAAAAAATTTGACTCATGATACATAAAGTCTGAAATTAAAAATCAAATAACTTAATATGAACTCAAACATATATCAACTGTATCTCAGATGTTTCTCTATCTCTTAGAAGTTTATTTATTTATTTGAATAATAATATTTATTTGTTTATTTAGATTTACTTATTATAAAATAATTAACAATTTATCTTGATGTTATTTTTGTATTAATTTCTATATTTTTTTTACACCATTTTCCCCAAACTTTTCCATGGACCCCCTAAAACAGCCCTTAAATAATATATCATAATTGACTTCACACTCAAACGATACATATATGAACAATACTTGTTATTTAGTGGCGATAGATGAGCTGGACATGTTTGTAAGAGGTTTTGTGATTCAGATGTAAGCCTGTTTCTCAAAATTGTCTTCATATTGTTTTTTTCCCCCAAATGATTTAAAGGCACAATATGTAAGTTTTCGCCGCTAGAGGGCGCGTACGCGATGTGTGAATTTTCTCCTCAGCTCCGTCTGTAAACATGAAACCAGTAGTGGCTAACTAGAAAGTTATGGGACCTGCACACTGAGCGGGACAATAAATCCAGCCTTTAAAAGCGACTCGCGGCTCTGAGCGTCCGCCGCGCCGCAGCACTCTGTAAAGAGCCTCAGATTCGGCTTCATTATGAAGCAACACGTCGCACTGATAAAAACCACACGTATAATGACATTAAACACGGCGCTTTCTCATGGTCAGTCTCTGCGGTCACACACACAAGCTGATAATCAGAAGAATTAATGATCACAGAAAGCACTAGAATAATAATTCAACACCAGATCCAATCAAACACTTGAAAATAACAAAAAAATATCTATATAATACAAAATAAATAATGATATCTTATTTAGGGGGCTATAAGGGAGTAGAACAGGGTCCATGGAAAAGTTTGGGGAAAACAGTGTAAAAAATGTAGAAATAATGTAGAAATAAATAAACAATAATAATAACAATAATAATGATGATAATAATAATAATAATAAAAGTTTAAAATGAATTATTACTAAATAATTATTTTAAAATAATTAGTGTATAAAAAAACATATAAATGAATAAGTAAAAAAAAAAAATCATTAATCTAATAATAAATTACATTAAAACAAGTAAATAAATAAATATATAAATAATAATTTATATATAATAAGATTAACATAAATAAATTCGGAAATAATTAAACATTTATACAAATAAATAATTAAGATTAAAATAAGATAAATTATTAAGTTAAGATGAATGATTAGTTATTAAGAAAATAAGAAAAAATGTAAATAAGTAAATATAAATAAATAAAATTCATCAAATAGATAAAAAATAGAAATAAAAAATGATATATATATTAGTGCTGTCAAAAAAAAGTGCTGTTTTCCTCTTGACAAGAAGTGCATTTATTCAGTCGCAGAATGTCTTTATGACCACATCAAACCAGAGACGTTTCAGACGAGCGCTCCAGCTGCACTTCAGCGGCAGGCGCGAGTCAAACGAGCGGAAACGGTACTGTGCTCGTAGCGCGTGCTCTTCTATTGACACCGGCGCGCACTGTAGCCTTTATCATTTCATATCAAAGCGCGAAAGAAACTACGTGCATGCAATGTCGTGGTCAGTTAAGTCATGAAGTTACCAAAAAGGTGATTAAAGATGCCTTAAAACTGTGCATGCATGTAATATATTTTATATGAGTCACATTTAAGAACATGTCTCTGAAATGGTTTTCAAAACTGTCCTGGAGCAGCCCAGCACGGTCTCACTCATCTAACACACCCGATTTAACTCGTCAGTTCAATAGTAGAGACTTTAAGACCTGACGTGGGTCAGAAAAGGTAAAGAGATGCGTGTCAGATCCGCGTCACGTTCAGCAGCAGCAGCTCTTAAAGTAATAGCAGCCAAAACAACCTAATAACCAGCTGCTGTGATGTCTGTTAATCAAAAGACAAAGAAAAAAGAGGAAATCAATAACTTTTGTAGCTTTAAGGATTCATCTATATTTAATTTAGAATTTAGTG